TGTACTCGGGTATACCCAGGTTTACTCGGGTATACCCAGGTTTACTCGGGTATACCCAGGTTTACTCGGGTATACTCAGGTTTACTCGGGTATACCCAGGTGTACTCGGTATACCCAGGTGTACTCGGGTATACCCAAGTGTACTCAGGTATACCCAGGTGTACTCAGGTATACCCAGGTGCACTCAGGTATACCCAGGTGTACTCAGGTATACCCAGGTGTACTCATGTATACCCAGGTGTACTCAGGTATACCCAGGTGTACTCAGGTATACCCAGGTGTACTCATGTATACCCAAGTGTACTCAGGTGTACTCAGGTATACCCAAGTGTACTCGGGTATACCCAGGTGTACTCAGGTATACCCAGGTGTACTCAGGTATACCCAGGTGTACTCAGGTATACCCAAGTGTACTCAGGTATACCCAGGTGTACTCAGGTATACCCAGGTGTACTCAGGTATACCCAGGTGTACTCAGTATTATCAAACCTTTACACGAAAAAACAAAAACAAAGCCACATACCTTTCCTTTTATATGCTAAATGGGATAAACAAAGAAACATTAAATTAGAACCATAAAAATCAAGCTGAAAAGGAAAGCAAAGAAACTGCAAAAATAACACACACACACACACACAAGACAACCAATAGGAAGCTGAACCCTACATTTTGACCATTTTAAAATATAATTTACATAAAGGTTATTGAATACTGTTGACACCGTGGGCTAAATTTATGCTTGACAGGGAGCCGGTCGGCCGAGCGGACAGCACGCTGGGCTTGTGATCCTGTGGTCCCGGGTTCGATCCCGGGCGCCGGCGAGAAACAATGGGCAGAGTTTCTTTCACCCTATGCCCCTGTTACCTAGCAGTAAAATAGGTACCTGCGTGTTAGTCAGCTGTCACGGGCTGCTTCCTGGGGGTGGAGGCCTGGTCGAGGACCGGGCCGCGGGGACACTAAAGCCCCGAAATCATCTCAAGATAACCTGACACCAAAATACACACATTTTTCATAATATGAAAACTTGTTATAATATACAATAGGAGTTGAGTTGAACGCGTTCAGGGTTCGTGTATGGGGTACAGAACACGAATAAACCACGTTTAGGGGGGGGGGGGGGTTGTGTTCGACCAGGCTGTGGAGGGTGATTCAGGGACCGCAAGTAGCAATAGCCTTGGCTACAGTTAGGCGGTCACCAGGGACGCCTGATTGACCTAGGGCCCAAAATCTGAGACCAGATACACGTTGACCTCCGTGTCCCAGCCGGACCACACCAGTATTGATCACGTCTCACTAAAAAAAATTCCAAATAAAACTGATTTAGTAAAGAATATATATAAACAAAACCATGTTGATTTGTTTCCTCCACCAAAGAGGTTCGCCACGTCTTCCAGAAACACAATCTTGGGGGACGAGCCACAACACCAAGACGTGGGGCCAAATCTTTCAATCTTGTCGTGTCAGTCAGGGACTGACAGCAGAGCTCTGCCTGCCGGAGTAATAGCTGTCAAGGCAGCGAGAGAAAGGAGGAGGAGGAGAAATGCTCCGTTGTGTGGGAAGACATGTTGGCGAGGGAGACGCTCCGAGGAGGAATGGATGGATGCTGAGGGAAGGAGATAAAACATTTGAAGGAGAAAAGATGATTGATGCTGGAGGGACAGAGAGATGCTGGTGGGAGAGAGGACACAGGAGTCAATGAAAATGGAAACAGGAAAGAGATATTGATAACGAGACTCATTACCAGGAGAGAGAATGAGAGGTACCGGGAGTAAGAGTAATGAGAAGTACCATCTTGAGTGTCTGGTTAACTTGAGATAGTTCCGGGGATCAATGTCCCCCGTGGCCCGGTCATATTGATTTTTGTTAGTTATCACAACAATTCAGATGTTTAATGGACGGGAATTAGACCAGTAGACACTCACTCTTAGATGCCAAGATCAGTGACTCCAGCTTTGTTTGAGGTTGTGACTGTGCCACACTATGCCACCCTAGAGGTTATCTTGAGATGATTTCGGGGCTTAGTGTCCCCGCGGCCCGGTCCTCTACCAGGCCTCCACCCCCAGGAAGCAGCCCGTGACGGCTGACTAACACCCAGGTACCTATTTTACTGCTAGGTAACAGGGGCATAGGGTGAAAGAAACCCTGCCCATTGTTTCTCGCCGGCGCCCGGGATTGAACCCGGGACCACAGGATCACGCGTCCAGCGTGCTGTCCGCTCGGCCGACCGGCCCCCCTAGAGAGCACTATAGTGTCTCGAAGAGTATCATTGCTGTGGCGCCTCGTGTTTGGACAGTTCTTCTTATCCAATCTCTCTCATTCTTCTTGCAGCTGTGGCGGCTACTTTGATTATTGTCTTCTTAAAAAGTAACGTCTTCCGACACGAATACCCAGAGATATCTTATATTGTTTCACGGGAGACATCTCCCGTCACGCAGGGTGCAGTCGCGCCTCCACAGGTCTCCAGTATCAGCTCTTGATACTGGTAATGGCTCAAAAGGGCCATCACTTACGGGCTATTCATGCCCGTGCCACCTCTTGGGTGACTTAATCTTTATCAATCAATCAATCTTATATTGTTTTCTCTACATGTAGTGAGATTTGACTCGACCAATCAGATGAGATTGTTTGTTGTGTTTGTGTCCGGGAGTGATTGATTGATTGATGAAGATTAAGCCACCCAAAAGGTGGCACGGGCATGAATAGCCCGTAAGTGGTGGCCCTTTTGAGCCATCACCAGTATCAATAGATGATACTGGAGATCTGTGGAGGTGCGACTGCACCCTGCGTGACGGGAGATGTCTCCCGTGATGTGTGTCCCGGGAGTGAATTTGAATTTAGGAGCCGGTCGGCCGAGCGGACAGCACGCTGGACGCGTGATCCTGTGGTCCCGGGTTCGATCCCGGGCGCCGGCGAGAAACAATGGGCAGGGTTTCTTTCACCCTATGCCCCTGTTACCTAGCAGTAAAATAGGTACCTGGGTGTTAGTCAGCTGTCACGGGCTGCTTCCTGGGGGTGGAGGCTTGGTCGAGGACTGGGCCGCGGGGACACTAAAAAGCCCCGAAATCATCTCAAGATAACCTCAAGATATATATGTGGATTTGATATTACTTCGTTTTAACTGGTACCTCCGACGGGTGATCCACCGGTTCCCCCCTCCGTCGGGGAACAGAGGGCCAAGCGGGTCGTGAACAATTAAAATACCCGTATCGGCGCGGGTCACTCGCCGCCTGCAGGAGCCAACTCTATAATGATCTACAAGTATACTCTCCATTTGGTGTTATCGTTAGCGGCTGAGCCACCGAGCTGATCAGGGACCTCGCCCCAGTGAACACAGGCCGCCCCAGTGAACACAGGCCCCCCCAGGGAGCACGGTTCATCACAGTCTACATGATCAGGCACACAACTTGCCAGACTCCCACGCGCGCCTCTCTCCCACGGCGCACGCGCGCACACACAACCGAGCCCCGACATTCTAGCAACGTTTCTTCAATGATAGTTATCAGTGGCACTATGTTAAGGCAGGTGAACTAGGGCCTCACCTGGCACTATGTTAAGGCAGGTGAACTAGGGCCTCACCTGGCACTATGTTAATGCAGGTGCCCTAGAAGGGGGGGGGGGTGTCACCTAGTAATCACCTATATCTGTCATCTACCTACACATGAACATCCCATTCAACCAGGGATAAAGTTCCCACCTAACAAGTCATCTCACAGATCAGCAGCAGCTTCGAAGCAAAAAAATAGGTTCCCAGACCCATCTGTTTATACCAACTTTATGGCCGCAAGTCAGAGACGGCCGCTTATCAGCGCACATAAATACATTTACAAGTACTATAATCCATATCATTATATTCACACGTAAGTGGCATTTATCCAAGCATTGTAACATGCTCCTCCAATCACGAGCATTACACAATGTCTCACTTCTGTTCGACCAATCAGACGGGATTTTTTGTTTATGTCCGGGAGTGGATTTGAGTTCTGCAACTTTCCTGATAATCAGTGCAATTTCAATAGCAATCTGCCACACTGTACTCAGACGACCTAAACTATTCCTTGCACTATTTTTGCTCGTCTGTGTTGACCTGTTGAGCCAGCACACACACCTGTCACTTGAGGCTCTCACTCAGCCTCTGAGGCTCTCACTCAGCCTCTGAGGCTCTCACTCAGCCTCTGAGGCTCTCACTCAGCCTCTGAGGCTCTCACTCAGCCTCTGAGGCTCTCACTCAGCCTCTGAGGCTCTCACTCAGCCTCTGAGGCTCTCACTCAGCCTCTGAGGCTCTCACTCAGCCTCTGAGGCTCTCACTCAGCCTCTGAGGCTCTCACTCAGCCTCTGAGGCTCTCACTCAGCCTCTGAGGCTCTCACTCAGCCTCTGAGGCTCTCACTCAGCCTCTGAGGCTCTCACTCAGCCTCTGAGGCTCTCACTCAGCCTCTGAGGCTCTCACTCAGCCTCTGAGGCTCTCACTCAGCCTCTGAGGCTCTCACTCAGCCTCTGAGGCTCTTACTCACATGCTGGTGATTTACTCCAACATTATCTCACGAAAATACTCATATGCAAAGAAGAGATTTAAATCATTCTTTAGGAGGTTGAATAAATCCTTAATACACCGTATCAAGACTCCGTTAATAAATTGAACAAAATAACAAAAAAAAGTGTTATCTGATGAATTCATTCCCACATCATCCGTCTTGTGGGCTAGCTAAGACTCCCTCGACTACCCTAGCCCCTATTCCAGCACTTCCACTTGATGGACCACTTCTCCTGTAGTGGAGCTGAAGTCTACCTGTACTTGTAAACCATATACAGGTTTACAAGAGGAGCTTTCTCTTGTAAACCTGTGCTTGGCTTCTCACCAACAGTGGTTAACATCGAACTCAAGTTCGAGGTTGTGTCCTTACCGTCAACGCAACAATTAGAATACACTAAAGCTAAGTTCATGTTACTAATTTCGGGGAAATAAGTCAAAAAAGGGGCAAACTAAATTATACATCAGACTTACCTTTTCTCTGAGAAGTTCCCTGATCTTGCCGGCTTGGTCTCGGAACCGCTGCAGGGAGAGTTCCAGTTCAAGGCATCGTTCTTGCCAGTTGACCACTTCGTCGCCGCCCCAAACCATGGGTCCGGGGCCGAGGCCCTCATCGTCGTCAGTAAGGAGGTCAGCCACGCCCCCTACCTCCCCTGCCAGTTCCGAGAGGGCTGAGGGCAGGGAGGAGCGGTGCCCGGAGGAGGAGGCTAAGGACGAGGCCAGGGTGGAGAGCTGAGAGTATCTACTTGAGAGATTGCGCGAGTTGCGACACGACCCTGGAGATCCTGGAGTGGGGGTCACGTCGCCATTATTGCCGGCTCCGTAGGAATCCTCGTCCTCCTCGTCCAGGTGGCCCGAACTGAAGCGGCCGGATGCGCCGCTGATGGTGGAGAGTCGTGCCATGTCGAGTGCCACTTCGGCCGAGAACCTCGGGTCCAAGTGGCAGCCGGACCCGAGGGTGGAGTAGAGGGAGGGTTGACGCACAGCCGGATAGCGGGGGTCTGGCGCCGGAGGGGTGGGGTCGCCTGGGGTGCCGGGAGAAGGGGGGCAATACGAGGCCCTGGGGGCCGGCTCCGGAGGCGGGTCGTGGCCCGGGTCGTCCTCGTCGCCGAACTCGTTACGGGTCGTCTCGCCCTCTTCAGTCCAACCATCGACGTTAAACAGCTGCGACAGCCGCCTTTCCGAGAAGAAAAACCTAGAATCCGAGAGTCTATGGGCGGCTAGAGTCATCTCATGGGTGTATGGGTTGGCCTGGATGATGTGGGAGTAAGGGCGCGGGTAGCCCGCACCCTGATTACCCGGATTATCGCCCTCTGCCATATTGAACTGTCTCCGCTATCAACTGGCCGTTAACCTAACTTGTAACGTCACTTGGCGCTCTGCCGCGTCCACTCCATCACCACCACCGGTTCCCGGGAGCTAGAGCACCACTCACACGAGGCTCCTGGATTGCCTCCTTAAAGCAGTGTGGCGCCACACCGTCACCGCCCACTGTTAAAAAGGGAGGTGGTTCAGCGCACAAGGCGCTCACTGGGCTCCACAAGGCGCGCTTAGAGCCCCACAGAGCGTTCACAGAGCCCCACAGGGCGCTCACAGAGCCCACACGGGCCCACACGCTGGCTCCACCACGTCCCCTCCACCTGCAAACAGACAAAAACACATATTAATGTTCGTTCGAAAACAAAAGCCAATGATAAATGACGATGATACATTATTGGCACAAGAACCAAGTACTTTGATGGATATATTGACGAAAATGGAAGTCCTTATTGCAACTATTTGGTGGAAAGTACCAATATGTACTGACGGACCACCAGAAAGTACCAATATGTAGTGACGGACCACCAGAAAGTACCAATATGTAGTGACGGACCACCAGAAAGTGCCAATATGTAGTGACGGACCACCAGAAAGTACTAATATGTAGTGACGGACCACCAGAAAGTACCAATACGTAGTGACGGACCACCAGAAAGTACCAATACGTAGTGACGGACCACCAGAAAGTACCAATACGTAGTGACGGACCACCAGAAAGTACCAATACGTAGTGACGGACAACTAGAAAGTACCAAATATATAGTGACGGACCACCAGAAAGTACCAAATATATAGTGCTGGACCACTAGAAAGTACCAAATATATAGTGCTGGACCACCAGAAAGTTATTGCTGAGTTTGGTCAAATCGGAAACTTTTTTTGTTTTACTTTAAGCACAAAATAAATATAGCGCCTAACCTAACCTTTACTAGCAATCCTAGACCTAAGATACGCTATCTTAGGCCTGATATAATACAGGCTTAAGATAGCATGAGGGTTAAATACAAGAAGACTCTTGGCTTGTGTGCGACGACTCCTTAAACGCGTTAACCAGACCACACACTAGAAGGTGAAGGGACGACGACGTTTCGCTCCGTCCTGTACCATGAGGAGGGAGGAGCCGGTCGGCCGAGCGGACAGCACACTGGACTTGTGATCCTGTGGTCCTGGGTTCGATCCCAGGCGCCGGCGAGAAACAATGGGCAGAGTTTCTTTCACCCTATGCCCCTGTTACCTAGCAGTAAAATAGGTACCTGGGTGTTAGTCAGCTGTCACAAGCTGCTTCCTGGGGGTGGAGGCCTGGTCGAGGACCGGGCCGCGGGGACACTAAAAAGCCCCGAAATCATCTCAAGATAACCTCAAGATAACCATTCTCAAGTCGACTGTGAGAATTGGTCCAGGACGGACCGAAACGTCGTCGTCCCTTCACCTTCTAGTATGTGGTCTGGTCAACATTCTTCAGCCCCGTTATTGTGACTCATCGCCTCCTCTAGCGCCTTTTTCATAAGTTCCAAATGAACCTTTTTGTCTGTCGTATCACAACAAGGAAATACTGAAATATGTATACTTACCTAGTTGTGTTTGCGGGGGTTGAGCTCTGGCTCTTTGGTCCCGCCTCTCAACTGTCAATCAACTGGTGTACAGGTTCCTGAGCCTACTGGGCTCTATCATATCTACACTTTAAACTGTGTATGGAGTCAGCCTCCACCACATCACTGCCTAATGCATTCCATTTGTCTCCAACTCTGACAATGAAAAAATTCTTTCTAACGTCTCTGACTCCTTTGGGCACTCAATTTCTACCTGTGTCCCCTAGTGCGTGTGCCCCTTGTGTTAAATAGTCTGTCTTTATCTACCTTATCAATTCCTCTGAGAATCGTGTATCTGGTGATCATGTCCCCTCTAACTCTTCTGTCTCCCAGTGACGTGAGGTTTAGTTCCCGTAGTCTCTCCTCGTAGCTCATATCCCATGTGTGTGTGTGTGTGTGTGTGTGTGTGTGTGTGTGTGTGTGTGTGTGTGTGTGTGTGTGTGTGTGTGCGTGTGTGTGTGTGTGTGTGTGTGTGTGTGTGTGTGTGTGTGTGTGTGTGTGTGTGTGTGTGTGTGTGTGTGTGCGCGTGTGCGTGTGCGTGTGCGTGTGCGTGTGTGTGTGTGTGTGTGTGCGTGTGTGTGTGTGTGTGTGTGTGCGTGCGCGCGCCCGCACATTTGTATTTGTGCGTGTACTTGTGTTTGCGTGCGATTGTGTGTCTATTTTCGAGTATGTACGTGTGAGCAGAGTATCTTCAATGCTTATACGTGAGTGCGAGTGCACGCGAGTGTACGTGAGTGCCTGACCCTGGGCTCGTGCACGCCACCCGCACGCGCGTCTGGCCCTGCGCTTCATCCATCACTAAAACAAACACTGGCCACAAAAAGAAAACAAAACAAAAAAAACAACTCCAAAATTGTCCTACATCATTACCACCCAAAATAAAACGAGGCAGGGCTAATTGGCGTGTCAACCACCAATTACGAGGGATAATTTGTTTCCTGTATGGCCTCTTCTCACCCCTGGGGGGGGGGGGTGAGGAGGGGAAGGAATAGAAGGGGACAGAAAGAGGAGAGAGAGAGAGAGAGAGAGAGAGAGAGAGAGAGAGAGAGAGAGAGAGAGAGAGAGAGAGAGAGAGAGAGAGAGAGAGAGAGAGAGAGAGAGAGAGAGAGAGAGAGAGGGAGAGACAGAAAAAACACAAAATAGGCCATGGTGACCATGCAATATCAAATGCGTTAAAAGGCAGCCTGTATACCATTCAGGTATATCATTTTATAGTGTATGTTCCGTGAGCTAAACCTCCACTAGATGAAATAGTTGACCACATAACCCGAATGTACTCGGGCATGGGGGGAGGGGGGTTGAATGAGTTCATGAAGACTCGTTCGCAGGTGTTTGTAAGTAGTAGGGATGGCTCCACACAGGTCATTTTTTTTTCTGGGAAAAAAAAGTACCTGTGCGCCCCAAGGGTTTCAGGTAAATTTAGAATATCCCCTGTGCGCCCCAAGGGTTTCAAAAAAAAAAAGTGCCTGTGCGCCCCAAGGGTTTCAGGTCCAAAGGGAAAAAAGGTACCTGTGCGCCCCAAGGGTTTCAGGTCCAAAGGGAAAAAAGGTGTGTGCGCCCCAAGGGTTTCAGGTCCTGTGCGCCCCAAGGGTTTCAGGTAAATTTAGAATATCCCCTGTGCGCCCCAAGGGTTTCAGGTCCAAAGGGAAAAAAAGTACCTGTGCGCCCCAAGGGTTTCAGGTCCAAAGGGAAAAAAGGTACCTGTGCGCCCCAAGGGTTTCAGGTCCAAAGGGAAAAAAGGTACCTGTGCGCCCCAAGGGTTTCAGGTAAATTTAGAATATCCCCTGTGCGCCCCAAGGGTTTCAGGTAAATTTAGAAAATCGTGTATAGCGCTTGGGGGTTTTCAGGTAAATTTTGTCAGTCGCAGATTTTAGAAGTAAGGATTTCTTATAAGAAAAATAATTTCCGAGACTTAGAAGTTTGTTAAGGCCTTATGGGAGAAATTCAAATAACGTGTGTAGCACTTTAGGGCTTCCAGGAGAACTCTACGGACATATTTTACATGTTTTCAACTTACAAAATCGTCTATGTAAGCCTTAGTTATTCATATAAATTTAGAAAATCACCTGTGTAAGTCATTGTTTTCAGGGTTTCGTACATCACACCCCCCTCCCTCCCCCCCCCTTACCTCGCAATCTGTCGCCTCACCTGTGTTTACTTTACGCCCGGTCAGCCAGACCTCTTATCTTATGTTATCTTCTCATAATATCTGGACCGTCCCTCCTCTCTCTCTCTCTCTCCTTTCATTCAGTTCAACTATTTTCCAACATCGTATGTTTGCTCCTTTTCATTAAGCAAGTCAGTATGTTTGCTCCTTTTCATTAAGCAAGTCAGTTTTACACAAATAAATCATGTTAGTAAGCAAGTTCTAGCTCACGTTCCCCACCTTAGTCCCCTGTCGTATAAAGAATACTATCATTCCAATCCCTCTAAAATTTAAAAATAATCATATTTCAAATGTAGTTCAATACAGTAATTTAGTTACCAAGCTCCAGCTCTTGTCCTCCGCCTTAGCTCTCTCTCGTATCTTCGTTAGTATCAGTCCAATTTCCCTGAAATTTCTACCCTCTGTATTTCAGACATAGTTTAGTAAATGCAAACAATTATCAAACTCTAGCTCTTGTCCCCAGCTTAGTTCATTTGTACAAAATCATTAGTAACAGTCCAAATTCCCTGAGATTTTTAGCCTCTGTATTTCAGACACCATAAATAAGATCAAAACAGTTACCAAGCTCCAGCTCTTGTCCTCCGCCTTAGTTCTCTTTCATATCTTTGTAAATAAACCACCAATTTCCCTGAAATTTCTACCCTCTGTATTTCAGACACCGTAAATAAAATCAAGTCAGTTATCGAGCTCCAGCTCTCGTCCCCGCCTTAGTTCTCCTTCGTATCTTTGTAAATAACCCATCAATTTCCCTAAAATTAAAAGCAGACATACTTCAAAGTTAGTAAATAAGATCAAGTCAGTTATCGAGCTCCAGCTCTCGTCCCCCACCCTCTTCCACCCTCAAGTCTTTGTAAATAAACCATCAATTTCCCCGAAATTTTTACCCTCTGTATTTCAGACATAGTAAATATGAAGTAAACAATTATAAAACTCTAGCTCTTGTCCTCTGTCCAAGCTCACTTTTGTAAAATCATTACTCTCAGTCCAAATCACCCAACTACATTTTCAGACATAGTAAATAAAAACCAGTTCAGTTATCAAGTTTCAACTCTTGTGCCCCAGCTTAGTTCATTTGTACAAGTTCTTTATTTTCCAACTAAATCACCCTGAGATTTAAGATCACCGTATTTCTAACGTAGTAAAATTAATCGGGGCATTAACCAAGCTCCATTTCCTCAGCCTTAGATCATCAGACATAAATATATTCGATCAAGTCCCTCTCCAGCCTATCTGTTTATCAGAGTATTTACTTTACCCTTCTCATCCCCAACGTATCAATCCCCAACGTATCAAAACCTTCAATAATCATACTGTATTTGCATATTTTTTCTATATTCAGCTGTGTTCTTCACATTTTGTCCATGTTTTCTATGTTCACTCCATGTTCTTCAAATGTTCACAGTCCCATTCAGTTCATATTTTCACAAGTATCTCCATTTTTTCTGTAATCTTTCTCTTAGTCTCATTACTTTCTCTACAAATTCTAGTCATATTTTCTATGTTTTCACGTTCATCACATGTTCTCTTTACAACTTTTATACTCAATATTCATGCTAACTTCCAT